CACTACAGTAAGGCAAGACACCCCACGCACAGCAGTACAGCAAGGATCAGGTCATGTGGCTACTACAGTAAAGCAAGACACCCCACGCACAGCAGTACAACAAGGATCAGGCCATGTGGCTACAACAGTAAGGCAAGACACCCCACGTACAGCAGTACAACAAGGATTAGTCTCTGTAATTGTCACACCTACTACGGTACAACAAGGATCATTACTATCATTATTACCTAACTACAAATTAGCATACCTAGTAAATACCACCAACACTATGCCTACAGCATCCATACACGGCAGGAATGCTAACGTTTTGGTTACTACAGGATCTGCAAAGAAAGCAGGAACAACTATTGTGAATTTGAAGGCGAAACCTCTTCAGAGTGAGTCAGGTAAGTAAACTTAATTTATCATCTTTCTATATTCTATCCCGTATGCATGTGTTTGAATGGCAACAGAATGGCACTTGATATCCATAACAACTAGCGCGGAATTGCTGCCCAATTTGTCGTCGAAATACAATAGATTTTGGTGGGCGGTTATGTAAGACGTTTGCATAACGCATCACGAAAATGTCGTGACGTCCTAGCTTTATTTTTCCAGGTGACATCACAAAGTCTTCATACTCAAGACCAGTTGTAACATGTACATCTATCAATGCATCGTGCAATACTACTAAGGTAGTTCGACTGACTGAGAGCCATCATCAAGTGCCTGTTCCAGTCAGCATTAACGATATGCATCCATCAATAACAACCACCACACCGGCAAGTTTGCAGGCACAAAGTAAAAACGTAAGAACACACTTATAATAAAGTCTCATAAAATAACTGCTATAAATCTTGCGTTTTTATAGTTTGGGGGCACACGTGCTTTATGAGAGCGCAGGGCAAGCTATTGCGTTATTCGTATGTTAAAAAACGTCCCTAAATTTGGAAAAGATCTTTTGGATTCGATTTGAACGTTTATATGTATCTCATTGAAGTTCTGGTTTGTGTTCCATCCATTTCTGTGCTCTTTGGACTAGTTCTGCTTTGACTCAAATTTGAAGATGATCTTCCTGTTAAAAATGTACTATTTTCATATCCTGGTTGTTCTTTTGGGGGTGCTAATTAGTGTCTTCACCTTTTGCTTCTTTCATAGGTATCCACCTTGTCCAGCACTACACCCCAAGCTGATATTACTACTTTACTGCGCTACAAAGTGATTGAGCCTGGTAGAGATATTCTGTCTGTAGTTGTACAGGTATGCCGGTCCATTGATAATAAGACTTCAAGATTGGTTTTTAATGGTTTTTCAATTTTATCTAACAAAACTGAATGCACCGGTAACTGTACTAAGACTTGAAGGGTTATCATAATGATTTTACCCAAAACATTCAGTCATTTTGCGCTATTTCTCACGGAGATATTCCTGAGTTGACGTCATCATTTCGTGATTTGTATATTTTATATCTCGGCAACGAAAAGAGATATCAAAAAGAAAGTAGGGACCATTCTTATTTATTTTATAAGGGCTTTGAAACCAGGAAGAGATCCTGTAGGCTTTATAGGCACTTTAATGCATCGGTCACTTTGCAGCAATACAGATGGTGTGCATCCCTTACCATGAGGATCCAAGGACTCAAAGCGTGGCCAGAGCGTTGGTCGACAAGACAAAAGAAACTAAGACCAAATCGGCGGCCATAACTTCACATGCACCCCCCCGACCCCCAAATATTTACTATTGACTCCTTTAGCGACTGAAGCAAAGCTTGAATTCTTTTTCCACAGGGAAAAACGTTTACAGCTTCACTAAAGCCTAATGGAAGAATCCAGTCAGCTGGTGGAGAGATCTTTCACACTCCAATGGCTTGGTTAAAAGCGGTAACAGGCAGTAAAGCCGCTTTGCGACAAAACCAAGCCTATAGCAAGGTATGCTATATAGATAGATCGAGTACAGTTATGTTCAGGGTTCTCCAAGAGACCGTGAAGAACTGTCATTCATGGTTTCTTGGTGACTCTCTATCATCTTTTCTCTTTTTTGTTTGTTTGTTTGTTTGTGTTTGTTTGTTTGTTTATGACACAAAGGAAACAAAACCTAGGCTATGATCACATGCTTGCATAGTTGTTAAGCTATGCAGTCAGGCAAAGATTGGTGATTTTGAAAGGGCAAGGCTGCAACCCCTGTGTAAATCCATGCCATGTGTTCTTCCATCAATCCTGCAGTCACTGAGTAGAGCAGAGTGGAGCGCAAAGGAAGAAATAGCTCTTCTGGCATGCACCTGTACCATGAGCAAGCTTGCATGAAGTTTTGATAGCTTTTTTGTGTTCTTTAGATATTATACAAAGGCAAAGCACTTTCATCATATTGTCTGTCAAACTCCGTTCTTCAAGGTAGAAGAGAATTATATGACATTTCTTTTTACTATTAGTACGTAAACCATGCTCCAATATGATTACTGAAGAGGAAAACAGTGTAGGTTTTTCTAATCGATTACGCAATGGAAAAACTTTAGCAATTACTTGTTCTCTTTATGTTCCAGGAAAAGAAGCAATCAACACGCCCAGGTATAATTTTTCTGTTGCGTGTCTATAATAAAAGTATTTGAGATGAAACGCGCGCGCTAATTTGCTGGCTACCGTGTTTATATCAGAGGACAGACACACGCTCGCGCGAAATCGTTTAAAAACATTAAATGAGAGCGATACAAAACCGCTGCTTATGTCTCTGTGCTGTGATATAAACACGCTAGGAGAGCTCCCATAGTGTCTCCCATGTCTCTGTACTGTGATATAACACTATGGGAGCTCTCCTAGCGTGTTTATATCACAGTACAGAGACATTCGCGCACGTTTACGTAATATTCCTTATACACAAAGTGCCTATATAGTTCCTCAACTATTGTATGCAAACCATAAATGAATTTAGGCTGATGATATTCCCAGGCCTGTATGACAGGATCTCGGGACTGGGACGGGAGGTAAGGGGGGATGCTATGATGTTTTATCAGACGGAAGCACTAACCCCCTTTCCATTTCTTGTTTAAGTTCCAAGCAAAAACCACCTACAGAAATGACAGCGGGGCAACCAAACACATCAAGCCATGCCTACTCTACACTACCCAGTACTACAAAGGAAAGTAATCCTGTACAATGTTCTTCATATATCAGCTTGAGTAACATACTCAGCCGTAATTGCACTGTTCGCGTCATATCAGATGATGAGCTGATACCGACAGCCAGCATTCTTCCAGCTGACTTTTGGTCTACGAGTTTTGATATGATAGACCTGGACCCAAAGTTGTTTGACATTTAATACCCCGATCTTTTGGCCTTTTTTCAATTTAATCGAGTGAGACACGGGGTCTGAAATAGAACATTAATATTACGCACAAGATAAAGTGGTCTATTTTTGGCTTTTCCTCTTTCACTAAAAAGATTGCCTTATTGTTGAAGATTTAAATCTAATAAAAAAATGGATAAAAGAAAAGAAAAGGAAAATCTTATGTGGATAAGATGGGAT